TTGCTCTGAAATAGAGACCCAAGAAAAAGACAGTCACTTCTGTAAAGTAAAGGTGCCAGGTCTCCCTTCTGATGGATGTTACTATGTCTGGATGCAATGCCTGGATTTGTGGCAGCCATTTTGTAACCAGGAGGAGAACTCATCTGTAGATGACAGAGCAGAAAGATGGAAGGAACCTGATGCCATGGCTGAATCATTTAATCAAGCAAGTCTGGAGCCACTCCAATTCCAGACATCCTGTCATGTAAGGCTGTAACACATTCTTGCTGTTTAAATGAGATGAGTCAGGGTCTTCTGCTACTTGCGTTAAGAGCATCCTAACCAAACAGCATGGAACACGAAGTCCATCAGGACCTGCCTTGAGACCGGCTTGGCAGTCCCCTCGATCAACATTTCTCTCCACAGGCCCAAACTTCAGACCCAGTGAATTCCAAACCATGGTCTCCCATTTTTCCAAGATTCCATACATGAAGGGATTCTACCCAGGATGCCCTTCCCATCCCTTTTTATCTGGCAATTATCAATTCATCCTCCAAAATCATGCCTCCACCAGGAAGTCTTTGGTACCAGACCTCGTTTATGGGCCAGCCCAGACCCATCTGGCCCCCTCGGCATTCCCAGGCCTCAGTTATTTGCCTTGTTTCTTGACCAGAGCAGCCCCCATGAGGGCGCCCTCCATCCTCACAGCTGCAAAGAACTGGCTGCCACCACTCTGCCATGACCACGCACTTCCTTTGTGTGGGCTGACTGATAAGGAGAGACTGTCCACGTGTGCACAGAAGGGGCTGGGCTTGCAGGGACTGTGGCTTCCTCATCAGCCAATGGGAAGGGATGGCAGTGTCATGTGGGCATACTGTGACCAGTGAGGGACAGGAGCTGGAAAGAAACCATCAGTTACATTGTTTCCTCTTTTCTCCGGGACTACTTAGAGATGAAGAGGCTTTGTACAGCGTGTTTTGGAGACAGAGGAACCAGTTACTTTCGCTACAAAGCTTCTTTGGGCTTGCACCCCTACACCCTAAGAAAATATTCACAGGCCAGCCATGCCCTTCGGTTCTGTTTTCAAGGGATCTGAGCTAAAGTGCCTCCCACCTCATGCCACCACCCACAACACATCTGACTGACAAGGAGGAGACAGAGCAGGATGATCTCAGAGCCCAGAGGGGATTGCTAAAAGGATCAGAGGGACTGGGCGTGGTAGCTCACATCTGTAATCCCAGCACACTGGGAGGCTGAGGCATGAGAATCACTTGAGCTCGAACTCACAGGAGTTCAAGACCAGCCTGGGCAACATGGCGAGACTTCGTCCCTACAAAAAAAAAAGTTAAAAATTAGTCAGGTGTGGTGATGTGCACTTGTAGTCCCAGCTGCTCGGGAGGCTAAGGCAGAAGGATTGCCTGAGCCCAGGAGGCTGAAGCTGCAGTGAGTTGTGATCGTACCATTGCACTCCAGTCTGGCCAACAGAGAAAGACCCTGATTCAAAAAATAAAAAAGGGTAGGGCTCGGGGGCTCAGCCTGTAATCTCAGCACTTGGTAGGCTGAGGCGAGTGGATTGCCTGAGCCTGTGGGTTTGAGACCCATCTGGGTAACTTGACAAGACCTTGTCTCTACAATAAAAATCAAAAATTAGCCGGGTATGGTAGTACACACCTGTAGTTCCGGCTACTTGGAAGGCTGAGGCAGAAGGATCGCCGGAGCCCAGCAGGTCGAGGCTGCGGTGGCCGGGAACGTGCCACTACACTCCAGCCTGGGTGACAGAATGAGACTCCGACAAAAAAAAAATAAAAATAAAAAAACAAAAAAAATCACAAGGAACCCAGGTTGCAGCTATTCACTCGAACCAGAAAGAGCAGGAAAGTTATTCGAGTCCCACAGCAGCTGTGGTGCCCCAAGTCACCCAGGAACACCCACCTTTCTTGGACCCAGAATCCTGCTCTCCTCACTCTGTCCTGCTGACCCTTGATCTGCCATGGTTTCTGTTGCCTCCCGGCCTTTTCCTCCTCCATACCCTCTGCTCATTTATGGCTTCTGCTTAATTTCAAATTCTGCATCTTCCTCTCTCCTGTGTCTCACTCATTCAGACTCCCCAAGAGAGGAGATCCCCTGGGTCACTTGGTTGCCATCCAGTATTGGGTAGCATTGTTGGGAGTCGTGTGCTGGGCTCCCTTGTTCCTGGCTGCCCTGGTCCAGTGACCTGAGCGTGCTTGGAAACATCTGCATCAACCTGACCTTGCCATGACATCCACAAGAGTGTGCCTGCTGGGCTTGTCTCTCTAAACAGGGATAGAACAGTGTAGGTGTTGCGAGTTGCCAGTGACATGAGTTGTGTGATGGTCCTGCATAATGGAACGAACAGGAAATTTAAAGCACAAACCAGCCACAGATTATTTATCACAGGCAGTCTGAGAATCACCGGGAAGGCTGCGGGAATGGACCCTGAGTGGAACTTCCAGAACTCCTAAGCTGCACAGCAGCACTGGGCCACCAAGGGAGTCATTGACTCTGTCCCCCATGGGTGCTGCCTGAGGAATCGGGGCCCTGCTCCAGCTGCAGGTTTCAGAACTGCCCCACCTCTGCCGCTAGCTGCACTAGCAACACAGGTATCTTGGGCCGCAACTGTCCCTGTGCTAGGGAATGTGGTACAGTGCTTTGCTTTCTAGCCCCTGCTACAGAGAAAAGCTCCCTGGAAGATAATTAGAATGATGGCCAGCAAAGGGAGTCACAGTGTCCACTAGAAAATTCTAGACTTCAAGCCTGTAATCCCACATTTTGGGAGGCTGAAATGAGAGGATTGCCTGAGCCCACGGGTTTGAGACCAGCCTGGGCATCATGGCGAGACCTCAACTCTACAATATGATAAAAAAAAAAAAATAGCTGGGCATGGTGGCACACACCTGTAGTTCAGGAAGGCTGAGGCAGAAGGATCACCTGAGGCAAGCAGGCCAAGACTGTGGTGGCCATAAGCATGCCACTGCACTCAGCCTAGGTGACAGTGAGGCTCCATGTCAAAAAAAAGAAGAAAATTCTAGACTTCTGTGACAGCAAGGCCTATACCCTGGTCCCTCAAATGGTCACATGCTTTTTGGTCACAAGCATTTGCACATTTTATTTCCATTACTTAGAGTGGTCTTCCTGAATTTCTGCTGGTCAAAATCCTGTTCATTCATTCATTCGTTCATCCAACAAACCACTTGCAAGTACCAGGCATGGTGCAGGTTACTGGGGCTACTGACATGGAGAGGGCAAAGTCCCTGACTTCTTGGGCCTCACCACTTGGTAAGGGAGATAGACACGGACATACATTAGCTGCCTTCCCGGAACACTCCTTTCTGTCCTACACACCCTTTACAGTGCCAAAGGGAGTGAAGCACAGGGATTAAGAGCCCAACTCTGCAGTTAGACCTACTAGCTGTGTGACTTTGAATACGTTACTTAACCGCTCTCAGCCTCACTTTTCCCATCTATGAGACGGCCAGGACAGCAGCATCTGCCTCCTGGGGCTTGTTCGGAACATTCCAGAAGACACTGCACAGGAAAGCCCTCATCTAGGAGGCACGTGACAAGTACGTCAAAGGGGCCATCACTTCCTGTCCTGGGCAATGTGACATCCCCTCCCTGTAAGCCTTCCCTGCTCCCCTGTGGGAAACAAGTCACTTCTTCCTTTCCTCTCATCAGTGTCCCTATTCTTCTTCCACAGGACACACCTCCAGGATATCAGAAACAGTGGGAGTGTGTGTGTGTGTGTGTGTGTGTGTGTGTGTGTGTGTGCGCGCGCGCGCGCGCGCGTGAGCATGTGTTTGTGTGAGTGTGTGTGTGCAAGTGTGTATTTGCTGAGCTATTAAAAAAAACTAGGAGTGGCCTTTGTCACATATTAAACATTAAAGGAAATTTTTAATGAAGTAATTGTCAAAAGTCTATTCGTCAAAAGCAACAGTACTCTTAATCTACCCCACCCCGCACACCCTTTTAGTCTATACACTCAGAGGCCTCAGTTTTCCTTCACATCCCTCTTGGCCTGCATGAGGTTAAAAACCCACAAACGTGAGTAATCAAGGAATACATGAATTTGCCTTTGCTCCGACACATGTCGATTTTCCAAGTGCAAAGTCCCAAGGCCTGTGCCTTGAGCCCTTTGGAGGAAATGAGCTATGGAAACTGATTTCAGGCAGGGAAAACAGGAACAGTAATGCATCATTTACTCAGTGCGGTAGGGTGAGTGGTGTCCCCCCCACAAAGATATGTCCATATCCTAACCCCTAGAACCTGTGAATGTGACCTTATTTGAGAAAAGGGTCTTTGCAGACATAATTCAATCAAGAGTCTTTAAGTTAAGAACCATTAAATTAAGGATCTCTGAATGAGATCATTGGGATTACCCAGGTGGGCCCTGAATCCAATGACCAGTGTCCCTATAAGAAACAGATAAAGGAGCTGGGAATGGTGGCTCACGCCTGCAATCCCAGCACTTTGGGAGGCTGTGGCAGAAGGACTGCTTGAGCCCAGGAGTTGAAAACCAGCCGGGGCAACATAACAAGACCCTGTCTCTACAAAAAATTTTTTAAAAGTTAGCTGGGTGTGGTGGTACATGCCTGTATTTCTAGTTACTTGGGAGATTGAGGCAGAAGAGTTGCCTGAACCTAGGAAGTCGAGGATGCAGTGGACCATGATCATGCCACTGCACTCTACCCTAGGTGACAGACTCAAAAAAAGGAAAAGAGACAGAAAAGGAGAAGACCCAGACAAAGAGGAGAAGGTCACATGAAGACATAGGCAGAGATGGGAGGGATGTGTGTGTGATGCAGTCACAAATCAGGGAGTGCCGGGGCCACCAGAAGCTGGAAGAGGCAAGAACTCGATTCTCCCCCAGAGCCTTGGAAAGGAACACAACCCTGCAGACACCTTGATCTCCGATGTCCACTCATGAGCACTGAAAGAACACATTTCTGTTGCTTTAAGCCACCTAGGTTGTGGCATATTGTTGCGGCACCCACAGGAAGTTAATGTCCTCAAGGTACATTGAGGGTGTCTATGCAACTCTCAAGCTGAGAGTGTTTTTTACAATTTTAAATGGCTGAAAAAGGTCAAAAGAAGCATATTTCACAACACAAGAAGATTTTATAAAATTCATATTTCAGTGCTAGTACATTTCATGGGAACAGCCCTGACCACTCATCTACATGTTGTCTCTAGCTGCAGTAGTGGGTTGAATTGTGTCCTTCAAAAAGATATGTTCTGGCTCAGCCTGTAATCCCAGCACTTTGGGAGGCCAAGGCAAGTGGATTGCCCGAGCCCGAGGGTTCAAGACCAGACTGGGCTACTTGGTGAGACTTCGTCTCTACAATAAATGAAAAATTAGTTGGGCATGGTAGCATGTGCCTGTAGTTCCGGCTACTTGAAGGCTGAGGCGGAAGGATCCCTGAGTCCAGCAGATTGATGCTGGGGTGGCTGTGAGCTTGCCACTGCACTCCAGCCTGGGTGACGGTGTGAGACTCCAACTAAAAAAAAAGATATGTTCCAGTTCTAACTCCTGGTATCTGTGCACGTAACCTTATTTGGATCCTTACAGGGGTCATCAAGCTAAGATGAAGTTGTGCTGGATTAGGGTGGGCCCTAGATTCAATGACTGGTGTCCTTATAAGAAAAAGGAGAGTCAGATTTGGACACAAAGATCCAGAGATACACACAGGGAAGAAGGTCATAATAAAGGAGATGGTAGAGATTGGAGTCACCACCTTAGCTGCCTCAAGGCAAGGAACACCAAGGATGGTCTGTACCCACCAGAAGCCGGGAAGAGGCAAGGAACAACTCTTCTGCAGGGCCTTCAGTGGGAATGTGGCCCTGCCAACAATGTGCATTTGCACGTCCAGCCTCCAGAACTGTGAAAGAGTGCATTTCTGTTTTAAACCACTCAGCTTGTAATATTTCATCATGGCAGTCCCAGGAAGGTAATACAATTGCTTTAGGGCTACAGTAGTAAACAGTTGAGTAGTTGTAGTAGAGATTTTTAGGACCCTTATTTTTAGTCTGGGGTTCATCATAATTATTATTTTTAGAGTTGGGGTCTCACTCTGTTTCCTAGGCTGGAGTGCAGTGGCACAGTCACATGTCACTGCAGCCTCAAACTCTTGGGCTCAGGCAATCTGCTTACCTTAGCCTCCTGTGTAGCTGGGACTACAGGTGTGTGCCACCATGCTCACTAATTTTCAGATTTTTTGTGGAGATGGGGTCTTGCTATGTTGCCCAGGCTAGTTTTGAACTCCTGAACTCCAGCAATCCTCCCGCCTCAGACTCCCAAAGTGCTGAGATTACAGGTGTGAGCCACCATGCCCAGCCCCTGTGACTTTTTATAAAAAGTGTTTGCCAGGCTGGGCACAATGGCTCATGCCTGTAATCCCAGCACTTTGGGAGGCTGAGGCAAGTGGATTGCCTGAGCCCAGGAGTTCGAGATTGCCCAGCCTGGGCAACATAGTGAGAACTTGTCTCTACAATAAAAAATAAAGATTAAATTAGCCAGGTGTGGTGGCACACAGCTGTAGTCCCAGCTAGTTGGAAGATTGAGACAGAAGGATCCCTTGAGCCCAAGTAGGTTGAGGCTGCCATAGCTGTGATTGTGCCACTGAACTCTGATTAAAAAAAAAAAGCATCTGCCAACTCTGACTTAGAGCATCACCCTGATTTGTATAGCTGGAGACAGCATACCACTATATCTGCCAGGTAAAAAAATAAGTTAGTATTACTCCCATTTTATAGATGGGGAGACTGATGCAAAGACAGATGAAAAGACATCCAAATGAGGTGGCCATCTGTCATTTCTTCATGCCAAGACATCCCATCCCTTTCCTTCCAGCCACAGCACCGTGACTTTTCTTAGGCGACACCCCTCCCCAACAGTGTCCACAGTTTGAATAGGGCTGACTCCACCTCTTGGTTCCAGGGTTGTGTACCCAATTGTATTAGTCATCTCAGGCCACCTTAAGAAATACCACAGACTTGGTAGCTTAAACAACAGACATTTATTTTCTAACATTTCTGGAGGCTAGGAAGTCCCAAACCAAGTTCTGGTAGGAATTGGCTTCTGGTGAGATCTCACTTTCTGGCTTGCTATGTCCTCACGTGGCCTTTCCTTGATGCAAGCCTGTGGAGAAAGAGACACCTCTTTCTCTTCTCCTTGTAAGGCCACCAATTCTATTGGACTAGGATTACTTTATGGTCTTAGTTGAGTCCTAATTACTGTCTAAAAGCCCTATCTCTACATTTAGTCACCTTGGGGGTTAGGCCTTCAACACGCAGATTTGGGAGGGATACACCCTAGAGAGTTGCTAATGCTAATCAGTGCATTCTCTTGCTTGGTCACTTTTAGCTACACCCAAGACTATCCCAATGCGTGGGCGTGGCACTTGCTGCAACTTTCAGGAAAGCAAGGCTCTTTTTCCCTCTGCACTGAGGATGATGAGAGACTACCGCCTCCGGGGCATATGGGGAGGACCCACCACCTATTTTTCTAAGTACAGCCTACATAGAAAAAAGCAGAGCTATTAGGTCAGACTGGGGGGTCTGTAATCTGGTGTCGCCTGAAAGATGAAAAGAATTGCACAAAAGTTAGATTGGAAAATACAGTTTATTTAGAAAGTAAATTGAGGAGAGAGAGAAAGAGGAGATTTACCTCCCCAAGGTAGGGGAGGCGGCCATAGCTCAGGGAACACATGGTCTGGTCAGAGCTTAACAAAAGCAAGAGCACCAGCTGCTTGAGGCTGAATGATTTTTAAACCCTCCCTTTGGTGTGTGTCGTTAAAGTGATTGGGTAGTGGTCTGTTTCACATCATCAGGAAGGAGCAGGTAAGCACAGGTGCTGACCTCAGGTGATGGATGGCAGGCAGATGGGTGGGCCAGTCACATGATTGTTGCCATGGTTGTGGGGTGTGTGTCAGGAAGGTCACAAAGGGTTGATTAGGTTAACTTAGTTTCTTATGGCTGGAGGCAAATACTTGAAATGGAAAAAGCTAATTAATATAAAACAAGCTGGGAAGGGGGTCGTAAAACAATTATCAATACCTACCCCCCAGAAACCAGTTTTGTTCTTGACTAGATGGAAAGCTAGGTAATTGGCTAAGAAAACATGACAAAGCTAAGCAATGTTAAAATGGCTGCTCTTTGGCTATATTGAATCCATTTTGGCCTTTTGTCCTTTCAAGTGCTAAGCAGTGGAGGAAGAACAAGTCTGTATAGCACTGCAACACCTATATCCAGCTGTACCTGAAATAAGCCCTCCTGAATTTCTCAGGTAACATGATACAATACATTCTATTTTTTCTTTCAGCCAGCTTGAGTTGTTTCTGTCCCTTGCAACACGAAGAATCTTGATTAATAGACTTTAATATTATAGCTAACAGTAATAGAGATAGTTTCTGAAAGCAAATCTGCTTAGCTCCCAGAGACCCAATCCAGGATTTCTTGAGAGTAACCCAGGAGCCATCTTTTCTGGGTCCTGGTTCCCAGATGGCAAGCTGGGTTCTGACACTTTTTAGTGCATTCACCCTTGCTCTCCTTAAACAGCAGTGGGAACAAGGAAAGTGAAATGCACGTGAATACATCAAGACAATTATTTAAATAAATCCAGATTATTTCAGGGAGTGCTCCCTGTTATGAAACAAAACAGGATCCCCAGGACTCGGCTTCCAATGACAATGGACCGAAAAAAATTCCAATCAGTCATGGAAGGGACATTCCTTGGTCTCCCTCCCTGGGAATCCTGCCTTCCCGGTTTCTCTGGGGCCAGATGCCTGGGTTCAAGGAACAGCTCTGCAAAGGCTGTATGACCTTGGGCAGGAGCTGACCCCGCCTGTGCCCTAGTCTCCTGCCCTGGGAAAATGGCAGTATCCATTTTACAGGATGAACGTGAGGAGCTGTGAACACGCACAACATGACCGGGATAGAGCTTGCATACGGCACGTCCTCTGTAACACTAGTATTATTATTTCCAAGGCAGGCTCCTCCCACCCAGATCTCTAACTAAATGTCACTCCTCAGTGATCCTCTGGCTCCCACAACCGCATCTTCTCACTCCTCATAAAATTTGGTATTTTACAGAGCATTTTCTCACTGTGGGATCATTCTTACTCTTTTTTTTTTTTTTTTGATTCTCATTTGTACAAGGCTGGAAGCTTCACGAGGGACAGACACCCTGTCCATCTTGTCAACTGTTATCTCCCCAGCACCATATCTCCAGCCTGGCACATAGTAGGTGCTCAACGAATATCGGTTTGAAGAAAGGACAGCAGCGGACTGACGGCAGGCGCCACCCCCATCGCAGGGCCTGCCACGCCATCACAGCCTGGGGATAGAGGGGGCTGGGTAGTCCGGCTGTGAGTACTGCTTTCCTCCTTTCAACTTCAACTTCCCGGTACAACTTCAGGGGCACAACTTCAGAGGCTCCCTGGACGAGGCCGCCACCCCGAATCGGGGCCTTTCCAGTGCAGCCTTCGGGAGGCAGGACGGGGGTGGCCCGCGGGAGGCCAGTTCCGAGCGCGTCCTGAAGTCCCTCCCGCCGCCCGGCGTCGCTTTAAGGCGGAGGCCCGGGAGGGGGCCGACCCCGCCCGCTCGCTCGCTCCACGCTCGCCTCCAGACTTCGGCATTTCCTCCCCGCTAGCTGGCGCGGCCTCGCCTCCCCTCGGAAGAGGAAGCTCCCGGGGTCCGAGTAACGGGAACAGGCGCGGAGGGGAGCGCCGGGAAAGCCGGGAGGCTGTCGGGGT